CCAGGTCATTCTCCTTCCATCCTTAATCAGGTTGGTACATGGTTCACAATTATTCTTTCCTCTTCAACTCCTGCCCTCATGCTAAGGGACTTCAACATAAATATTGACTCTCCTGCTATCACCCTAACCACTCAGTTCCTCAACCCACTCAGTTTCCACTCTACCACACCTCAGCTACATACAAACATGGCCATACCCTTGATCTTGCCATCACTCACAAATGTAACACTTCCAAGTTTAACAATTCCAAAATTGCCTTATCCAACCACAGTCTATTGTTTTTTTACCTCTCCCTCTGCCTTTGCTTACAGAATTTTACTCTTTGTCCATACCATTATCTCCAAACCTTTGACTCCTCAATTCTCTTCTGGGCCACCACTCCTAAACTAGCCACTCTCTTCCCCCCCTCATCTTGACCACTTTTTGAACCAATTAAACTCTATACTATCTTCCACTCTTGAATCTCTAGACCTTTTATATTGCTGAATATGTCCTACCCAAGTATCAGCTTTGGAATACTCACACAAAGGATTGCCTTATCCACATGTGCTATTGAATGAAGGTGGAGAAAAATCATACAACTATTCTGACTCAGTCATGAAGTTACACAACCTCAACTGGGTCTTCTCTGTTGTGAGGTAATCCTATTATGGCTCCTATCAAATCACTATCCCACCCTCCATGGCAAGTCTTCCCAACCATTTCATCTGTCCTCAAACCTCTCATGGCATCCTCTTCCCCCACCTTCTCAGCTGAGATCCCTCTACCTCATCTGTGATCACTCAGATTCCTTCTCTCACTATCTCCTCCTTCACTCTTCTCACAAGATTAGGTGGTTTTATTCCTTACCAAGATTAATGACCCCTTTACTTGTTCTAGCAATGCCATTCCATTCCATGTCCTCCAACAGACTGCCCTGTTATTCTTACTCTATCACTTATTTTCAATCTCACCCTATTTACTGTCTACAAATAGGCCCATGTCTCCCCCATCCTCAAAAAACTCTCACTTGACCTTTTCATTTCCACTAACTATTGTCTATATCTCTTCTGGATCTTGTAGCTAAATTTCTTGAAAAGGTCCTCTACTCTAAGTGCCTCTGTTTTCTCTCCTCTCACTCTCTTCTTAACCCTTTACATTCTGGCTTCCAAAATTATCATTCCACTGAAACTGCTTTCTCCAAAGTTGCTAATGATCTCTTAATTGCAAAATTCAATGGCCTTTTCTCAATTCTTTTCCTTCACTACTCCGTAGCCTTTGACACTGGTGATCTCCCTCTTCTCCTTGATACTCTCTTTTCTCTAGGTTTTTTTCAGACACCATTCTCTCCTGATTCCCCTACTACCAATTTGACCACTCCTTCTTAGTATCCTTTCCTGGATCCTCTTCCAGATCACAACCTCTAACCATAGGGGTCCCTCAGGGTTTTATCCTGGACCTTCTTTTCTTCTCCCTTTGGATTTAATTGCCATCCCTTTGCTAATGATTCTAAAATTTACCTTTCTGCCCAAAGACTCTGCTGACCTTCAATCTTGCATCTCCAATTGTCTTTCAGACATCTTGAACTGGATGTCCTATAGATATTTTAAATTGAATATGTCCAAAACAGAACTCATTATTTTCTCTGTAAAACCACGCCCCTCCCTCCTACTTTCCCTATTTACTATAGGAGGCAACATCATCCTCCCAGTTCCTCAGGCTCCCAACCCAGGAGACATGTTTGACACCTCACTATCTCTCACTCTTCATATCCAATCTGTTGCCAAACCCCGTCGACTTCACCTCTGTGATACCTCTTGAATATGCCCCCTTCTCTTCTTTAATGCTGCTACCACTCTGGTGTAGGTCCTCATCACACCACCCCCACCTCCCCCCCCACCATGTCTTTGACTACTGCAGTAGCATGTTGGTGGGTCTACTATTTCTCCACTCCAATCCATCCTCCATTCATCCACTAAAGTGATTTTTCAAAAGATTAGGTTCTATCATGTCACTCCCCAAGCCTCAACTCCCCCTATAATTCCCACTGGATCCCTATTGCCTTCAGAAGCAAATAACAAATGTTCTGTTTGGCATTCAAAGCCCTTCATATCCTAGCCACCTTCTACCTTTCCAGTCTTCTTACACCTTACTCCCCACCATGTACTCTTTGATCTAGTCACACTGGTCTCCTAAATGTTCCACAAATAGGATAAGACATCTGTTGGTATTTTCTCTGGCCACCCTTCATGACAGGACATCCTCAACTCTACCTATTGACTTCCCTGGCTAGCTTTTGGTTTCAATTAAAATCCCATCTTTTACAGGAAGACCTTCCCCGCTCCTCTTAATTTTAGTGCCTTCAGTCTTAGTATTTATTCTGTATACAGTTTATTTTTGTTTTCCATGTTGTCTCCCCCATTAGATTGTAAGCTCCTTGAGGGCAAGGATTGTCTTTTGCCTCTTATTGTATCCCCAGTTCTTAGCACAGTGCTTGGCATAGAGTAGGTGCATAATGTTGATTGACTGATAGCAGACTGCCTATATGTATATACTCTGGATGATACTGTTTTCCTCTTTTCAAACATTTTATTTACTTCCAAGGATTGTATCCACATAAGTTCATTGCAACCTGAAAATTTGGCTGTCAGGGCAAGATTCTCAGGCACTGAAGGAGTGGTGAATGAACTCCCTGTGGGTATTCATGGCCACTTTTTAGCAGGTGAATGACCCTGACTTTCTAATAAGTCTCTATTCCAGGACTCCACCAACCAATGCCTTGGGAAGTAAAGAGCTTTGAAGAAATTGGAGACTTGGAATTATAAATTAGAAAATGGGTAGTGAGTGCTTTGAAAAGATCCTGTCTGGATCTCCACTGGCTAAAATGGTGACATATGGTGTCATATTTTTATATGGGAAGTTCTGTATGTTGCAATCTATCTTAAGAGAGTAATATCTTTATGTCATGTGTGGAATGTTTCTATTTATGAAATTTCTATTTATGAAAACTCAGATTTACAGTGGGTAAAGGAAGGTTCATTTGAAGTAGGTAAGTTAGCACACTCAGTGGGATTTTGAGAAACACTGTATCCAAAGAGAATGGATTACTGGTATCTTTGAAGTGGTTATGTTGCCTCTAACAAACTTAAGAAGGAATTGAATAGTCAGAAAGAAAATAGTGGAAGAAAATGGAAAAAGAGGTAAGATAGTTAAAAAGCTCTCCCACTCTCTCCATGCCTAATGTACGAATAGAACCTTTAATTGAATATCATGCTTTTTTGCTATCACTTGCTTTGCCAATTGATCTAGTGGGAAGAGACCATCTGTGTAAATTATGATATTTATTCGGTATATTCTGTACTCCAAAGTGGGTGTTTTTGGAACTTCAGTAGGCTGATTTAGGTACTATGTGACTTCAGGTCAGGAAGAGGATGAGTTTCACCCTAGTCTGGAAAAGCACTCTGAAATGAAGGAAACTTAGTTTGTATTGTGGGCCTGGTCTAGTAATGATTCTGGATTGATAAAAGAAATTGAACCCCTTACAATCAGTTATTCCGAGGATAAGCCACAGCCATGCATTAAGCAATGCCCTCTGTCTAAAACTCTAATTGAAGGAATCCAGTCACTAACTGAAGACTCAGAGGAATGAGAACTTACCACAAACTGGCAGTGCCCACGTAGTGCCTAATTTTACTGGTAAGAAAAGAAGGAAAATTAAATAAAGTTAACCTGTGTATTGGTTTTATCTAAATTTAAGTATTCCTGTGATTCACCAACTATCTTTTGAAGGAAATTTAAAGTTGTTTATTCCATCAAAGGGTCCACCTTAATTCATTATGCCTTTCTAGCCTTCGGCCTGTATGTGGGCCCTCAATAATTTTGGCTTCTGTGTTCTTCACATTTGAGACTCAAGCATCCCCTTGGCTCACATGAGGGAAATGCTGATTTGTACCTCATAAAAGGATAAGAGTGTAGATGAATTTGTTTACAAACTAAATCATAAATCTCTCTCAGTTTGGAATGACTTTAATAGAGATATAAACAAAAAGAACAATAAGGAACTGAACAAATTGTTGGAATACTAGACCAGAAAGACTTCTGGCATCTTCTAAATGGAACTAGAAAAGAGAATACACATTTCACAGTAGCACAATGAACTTTTACAAAAATTGACCACGTAAATTTAGGGCACAGAGATATTGTAAACAAATGCACAAACACAGTAATAGTTAATAAATTCTTTACAGGCCATATTTTTTTTTCTGATCACAACACAGTTTTGACTTTATTAGAAGCACACTTTATTAGAAGACACAACCATTAAATAATTTCTCCCCTAACATAAGCACAGAGATAAGCAAGATGATTTAATTGTTTAGAGAAGAACCAACTAAAGATCATTTGAGCTACAATATTTAACCTTCTGTACTGGGGCAATAGGGTGTAGCATTATCACCAATAAGCTATTTGTAACTGGAAAAGGAACCTCTATCTATCACAGGTTCTCTTTTATTTTCCAAACAATGCTATAGGATCCAATATATAAGCTCCTACTTAATATTTCTGCTTAGTGTTTGTAGCAAATATAAAACATGGAATCATTCAGAGATGAATGGGCCTTTCATCTGTTGCCCTAGAACTACACTTTTGAGGGTGCACCTAAATTAATGGCAAATTGAGCAGACAATTTTGCGGAGATTAAAAGTCAGAAAATATTTGGGTATGAATGTGGTCTCACTAAGTCTAGACAGAACAATTGCCAAAGGTGCACCCCAAAAGGTGAGCTAAGTAGGCAGAGAAACAGGGCAGCACACAAGCCAATGCCAGTTGCCTATTAAGCTGGAAACTGATTCTCAGCCAGGTTAATGAGCCTGCCCATAGTCAATCAATTAGTCAACACATATTTATTAAGTGCCTACTATATTCTAGGCACTGTGCTAAGTGCTGGGGACACAAAAGAAGGCAAAAGACAGTCTCTGCTCTCAAGTAGCTCATAGTCTAATGGAGAAGACAATATATAAACAACTATGTACAAACAAGCCACATACAAGATAAATTGGAGATAATCCACAGAGGAAAGTCACTAGTACCAAGGGGATTTGGGAGAGGCTTCATATAGAAGGTGAGATTTTAGGTAGGACTTGAAAGAAGTCAGGGAAGCTGGTCGCTGGAAATGTGGAGGAAAAGAATTCCAGTCGTGGTGGATATCCAGTGAAAATGCACAATCTGGAGAGATGGAATTTCTTGTGCAAGGAACATCAAGGAGGCCAGTATCACTGAATCACAGAGTACACAGTGGGGATAGTAAAGGGAGGGGCAAGGTTATGAAGAGCTTTGAATGCCAAACAGAGGCTTTTCTATTTGTTCCTGAAGTTGATTTGATGTCACCGGACTTGATTGAAGACAGAAATATCTTTTCCCACTATATTAAATTTGCCAGAGCCCCAAGGATGGATAGTTTCTTTCTGAAATGAAGGATTCATGTAAGCATTTGGAGACTATGATTTTCTTCAAGATATCTTCCAAACTTTTTAATGTTCCTGGCTACCATTCCAGTCAGAACAGAACTCTGATGAGTTCTGAGGCCATCAACAGCTTACCACAAATAATGTGAATGGACCTAAGGGTCAGTCATCACTTTGTGCAAGTGGTACAATGGAAGATTCCTTAACTCCAGCATCCCTGGTGACAGCAAAATGGAAACAGGCAGGAAAACTTTGGGATCTCACTAGAGCAACTTTTACATTCCTACAAGGCTCTCAGTTTGTCTAATAAAAACTAAAACTCCAATAAATTAGATAGGTTAGCACATAGCAGTTCATCCCGCTCACCCCTAAGCAAACTAACCTCTTCTCAAGTTCTTCTATTTTTCTCTAAATGTTGCCTACATACACATATATTTTAATGACTGCTTTGTTTCCTTTCCACAGCAACAACCTTTGCAAGCCCAGCTCTGGAGGTATCCTTGAAATCAGCACTCTTACTCAATTCCTTTAGCCTTCAGTTCCAGCTTGACTCGTTGCAGGTAGCCGGGATCAGGGTAACCAAAGTTTTCTGGACCACCAAATTGGAGAGTTTTGTGGTGAATATCATTCCAAGTGATCACATCCTTGATTCCTGATGTCCGGGACTGTCCTACTGTGAAAATCAACCTTTGTTCAAAAGCTCTTCTGAGAAGAAGCAAAACCTGCCGTCCTTCTTCATTATTTGGCAAGTATGCCACCCGTCTTGTGCCTTCATAGCGTTTTCCTGGGTTGGGATGCTCTTCTGTCTGTATGCCTCCCCGCATGTCATAATGAATCACAATAGTGCCATAGGAATTATAACCTGGAAGTGAAGAGGTTCTGTAAGAGGTTGTCATTGTTCCATCTGGCTGATTCCCTTTCACGATGCCATAGGAAGTCTGGCACACAGGGCACACTGGCTTATGTTTCATGGCCTCTCTAATACAAGGGCCACAGAATCCATGCTTGCACTTTGGGAGGACTTCTTTGTTGTGAATGCTTTCCATACAGATGACACACTCCTCTTCCTCCTCATCATCCTCCTCCTCCTCTTCCTCCTCTTTTCTTAAATCCCGATAGTCAGACAATCCCTTGAACATAGGTAAAGCCATCTTGAAATCATTACCAATGTTGTCCAAGGGGGATCTGGGGACTGTTGTCCATTTCCATCCAATGCAAAAAGTTAGCTCTTGTCTCTGCTGGGAAGGATCTTCCATACTCAAATATCTCTTAACATATTTCCTTGCTTCTGCAATGTACTTGGGCAAACCAGTCAATGTCATTTCTTGTCCATTCCACTCCAAGTTTACATGGGGGTACCTTCTTTCAAAATCTTCAAAGAATGTCTTTTCCGGCCAACCATTTCTATCTTGGTCTAATGGTTTCAGGATAACTACCTCTTTGACAATCTGACGTAAGAGCTTCTGAAAGACATCAACGAAATCTTCATGAGCAAATGCAGAGAGGCCTAAGCCTTTGTCTTTTGGTTTAAATGCAACGAGGGTTTTCTGAGTTTGGGGTATATTCACCAATTCCACTGCAATGTCATATTTTTTCTCTATTTCTCTGATTTCTTGGCGTAGAAGACGCAAATGAGTAGTATCCACCTCAATTTCATTCTTCATCATATTTTGGGAAGCCATTGATTCCAGAGGTTGTTTGCGAGAGAAGTTTGATTCAATAAAATGTTGAGCTCCTAAGATATCCTGTGGGTTTCCCCAGAGGATTAAGACTTTTCCTTCAGCTTTAATATGGAGGTTTTGAAACATATCAGTTAGTGTTTTTTGGACATCAAGGGCCAGCTTATTATCTGTGAAATGAACATCATGCCGAGTCACATTCTGTATTTCCCTCTGAAATTCTCTGATAAAAGCTTCTTGAGCCGCTTTCCTGTCCCCCGAATTACTTGTCTCGAAGTCTAAACACACATTGCCCGTAGGATATGCCAGAGTACTTTGGATACGTACTTGATGCTCACTTTCTATTTTGTCCAGAGTTCCAGCAAAGAAATATTTGAAATATTCATACAAATGTGAAGGAACTGAGATAAGGTCTGACTCTTCTTCTGTCATGTGTTCGGGATTTGAGTGAAGAATAGGATTGTCACAGTCATTTGCCATAATTTGCTCAACTTCTCTTGCTGAGGCTGAATGGGAAAAATCCTCTTTCTTGTAATTTCCCAGGACGCTGTCACTTAAGAATCGATGAGCTTTTTCAACATCTTCATAGTCACCAATCACTCTCTCAGGTCCATCATAGCCTCCGTCTATTATGAGATTTGGGCAGAGGTTAATAATTTTCTCCCTTTGCTCGTCAGAAAGGTTGAAGTTCAGCTGGGCCGCCACGTGGAGAAATACCTTTTGAATGATGGAATTAGAGGAGCTAGCAGCACCTCCTTCATCTGGGTGATTCTCATCTGGAGATTCCTTTGGAAGTGACTGAGTCTGAGAGGAAAGCTGGCTTATCTCCAATGTGTTGTTCTCTCCTGGGTTTTCATTTGTTTCTATGTAGACATTCACATATGTTGTATCACTGACTGCCACAGAATGATCTTTCCTTGCTATCACACCTTCTTGGGCTTTTCTTTTATAAAACTCTACCCAGAAAGTACCTTCAGTGGGACCGACTTTGACCTTGCACTTGCCTCCCCCAGACCTCCATGGGTTCTGGAAATACTTTTGCAGCTTCCTCTCCATTCTAGGGTAGCTCTCAGACACTCGGACTAGGACCCGGTATAGCGGGCTGTGGGAAGTGCTGCCAGTGGCCATCAGGGCAGGGTAGGGATTCGGGAGTTGAAGATCCATGGCTGCGATATTTTTTCACTAGGCTCTGCAGAAGAAAACTGGGAAGCAAAGAGAGGAGATGAAAGGGTGCTGTCAGCTCCCTATCCCCACTGCTCTGCCCAGACCATAGCTTAATAAAAATAGTAATTGTTTCAGACAGCACAAACATAAGACAGAGAACAAAATGGCAATTTTAAAATGAAATCCTAAATGATGACAAATTCAAAGAATCATTTTAAAAAAAATACAAGTAATTATTTGAAAAAAAGATGATGATGATGATGATGACGAAACAATATACAGAAATACCAAGGTGCAGATAAAGCAGTCTTAAGGAGGGAAAAAATGTATCCTTACAAACATATACTAACAACGTAGAAAATAAGAGGAAAAACGAACTAAATATTCATAGAAAAAATTAGAATGCCAACAAATAAACAAACTTAAAATAAGCACAAAGTTATTAAAATAGGAGAAACAGGTAAATTGAAGGCAGAAATACTCCAAAGAAATTATATCTAAAACCAAAGGCTGGTTCTTTGAAAAAAAAACTAATGAAATTGATAAATCTTTACCTAATCTTATTAAAAAGAGGGGAGAAAACCAAATCAATAAAATAGCAAATGAGTAAAGTGAAATATCAATAATGCTAGAAAAAAATAATCAGTACATTGTATACAACATTAATCAAAAGCAATATCACAAGTCCATGAGACATGACTTGCAACTGCATTTATTAAAGAGAAAGGCACATGCTTATGAAAGTCCCTATATGAAGGAGCCTAGAAGTGCAGGGAAAGCTTGATATTTCAGTTACAGGGAAAAGGGGAAGTAATAGGGGAGGAGAAAAGGACTAATCCCTTTCCAAAGGTAAGAAAACGAGAAATCATTAATAAGTAAAATGGCAAAAACAGCATTATTTTCCCTTAGAAACTACTAGACTGTGAAGATATGATGGTCTATTTATTTACAATGGTCCCAGCTGCAGAAACAGTTTCTCAGTCTGGTGCAGACTGACTGGTGCCTATCTTGACTCCCAAAGACACACTGGGAGTTAAGCTTGGAATGCAAGCAATAAATCGTGTCAGCTAAGGGTGAACTTCATCCTTGATTCATTCGGGGCCTCTTGCATACTCCAGGTCCAGTGTTTCTGTGAAATATGGCAACTCAAAAAGGTAAGTGCAGGGAACCCCTTAAAATTCCTTCTCCTGCCTCAATAGGTCAAAGGCAACCCTGGGTATGCCAAAGACCACAGAGAGTGCACTTGGTAAAACATTCCTATGGATACTACCTAAAAAGGGTCTCTGAAGGCAAGAGAAAAAAATACTTCACAAGGAAAATGGTCAACAGACATAAAGCTAACTAGAAACCTTGGGCACTTTTATGACTTGTGGCCCATACAGGATAGTTTCATTTAGAAAGTGAGAGTAGTACCATAAATGAAGTACAGTATAAGCCATAGTAAGAACGTTCAAAATCAAGGATTAATCCAGAGGGGAAAATCATACAACATGAAGAAAACTGAGAAAACTTAGTAAACAGATACAGAAAATAAAAGACAAAGGGGTACAATAATGGATATCAATATTAAAAAAAAAGTCACTCTGCAATTTAGTAACCATTCCCAATATCCATTCAATCAACACATTTCATCTTGAATCTCAGCCATCCCACTCAGTCGTCCTATCCCTGGCACATTTCTTCTTCAGGCAGTCTGGAAAATATCATGTCTTCAGGGGAACCACTTCAGTGGACTTCCTTTCTGGTTACAAGTTAATTCTAAAGACTACTTAGACGTTTTTGCTAAAATTTGTGACAAAACAGATCTCAATACAAGATTTCCATACTAGTCACAAAGTTTACTTCTCTAATAACTAGTACATGTGGTAGAAACCAGTTGAACCCTCGTGATTCTGATATAATCAATAATAGAGCTATAAGGGGAACATCAAATTAGGAGCCCATTGTTCACCTGAAACTTCAGAGGATTTAGCTTATAAATATTCTATGTTATTTCTATCTTTATCTAAACTGTGTACCTGACATAAATGTTGTTAACAATAAGTTAAAGGGTTACTGTTAAATTGATAAAAGTAAAACATTCAATATTAAATATTTCAAATACCACAGAAGTCAGAACTCTTAAAACCTTCCAGATTACATATATATTCATTTGATCTTGTTTTCTCAACATTTTTACTCAATTTTTTTCTTTTCAATTTTTATTTTAACTGTTAATTGTTGTAGAACTCCAAATTTAAGTACAACTTAATTTAATTCTAAATCAATTCAATTCAATTATTCAGTTCCCCCCCACCTTAGGAGTATCAAAGTCAGATAAAGATCTAATCTTCAGGTAAAACATATATTAAAGAATACTTTCTATAAGAAGATAACTTATGATACACAAATGAATTTACATAAAAGTTACCAAGTTAACTTCAATTGTACCAAAAGACTTAGGATGGGATGTGGAGATATACTTAAGTAATTAGTTTCAAAATAATACATATCAAGTAAGTTGGTGATAATAAAACATGTTTGTACCACAGGCAACAAGTGTTATTTCCACATTTAATATGAATCTTAAATTGAATTGACTTTTCCATTGATGTGATACAAATTATTCCATAAGTTACTCTTCTCTAAGAGAACTGATTACAATAAAATTCATTTCTTCAAACCAAATTGAAGATGTTTCTAATTTCATTTTAATTATTAATAGAATAACAGCATAGTCCCATAAATTGTTGTATGAACACCCAATTATTCTTACCACATTTGGAAACATTTAAAGACTTTATTTTATACAGAAATATATATCCAGTAACAGACAGATGACTAAGCCAAATACTCATTAAGTTGTTCATGATATAGAAAGGACTATAATTCTAGGCTAAATAGCTCAGATCTTACACACATGCATTTTATTACAGTAGCAAATATGTGTTCCAGCCTTAGTTTATGAGATAATGATTTAACATTGTGTTTGTATCTTTGTTTAACAAGCTTTTTTTAACCTTTGTGTAATTATTATCATTACTGTCAGAAAGAACAAGCTATTCCAGGGACTTAATCTTACACATGGCAATGAAAGTACTAGCAGGCAGATGACAAGCCCAAGTACTAAGTTACTTAGTTCTTTGGGATATGGAATTACTACATATTTAGACTGAAAACAGTAAGATCTTATATACTTGCATTGTGCTCATATCTTCTACCGACCACCTGCTCTGATTATAGAAATTTTCTATAAAACAAAACAAAACAAAACAAAAAAAAAAAAACAGGGACATTATCCTAACAGCATTGCAAGTGGTCCTTAATGACTCAATACATATGTGACATAATAAAGCATCCTTAGCTCTGTTTGACATTAGGTAAGAGTCAGAGTTGATCAAATCCGGCTTCAGACACATAACACACATAACATTTACTAGCTGTGTGACCCTGGGCAAGTCACTTAACCCCACTGCCTAGCCAAAAAAAAAAAGTCAGAGTTGATAACCAATCATGCAGTAACAATTCTGCCTTATAACTAGACTCAGGAATAGCAAGGTGAGAAACATTCCTGCTCAAAAGTAAGTCACACAATGGGGAAACTGAGCCAGAAGGATCCTACCTTAGGCTATGCCAAGCTTGTCCTCTCCACTTTTTTCCAGATACAGACCTCCACCTATAAAAAGTTCAAGATCACATCATTCCCTCTGAATAGCTTGTGGCATTTCTCTTAAATGCTAGATGACTGACTTAATGACCCATCAATTATACCTAAATTCAAAACTCAAAACAATACAAGTTACAGTCTCAAGAGCTTTTTTTTCTCAAATGACAAATCTCACTAATCACAGATTAGGGCTAGATACACTTATTTTTACTCTCATGAAGTTGTAACAAGCAAAAAAAAAATTACCAGGACCCACACATTCATGAGAGATTTCATTTAACATTCTTCATTTGTTTTTCTTTTTCTCTTCTTCTTCTTGACCTTACACACACGCTAGTGTAAGGATCAATCATTAGAAATCACTTCTATATTATACACAAAATTGTAAATTCTCAGTAAGCCAATTTCATTGGAACTCCATAACCAATAATAAGCTCTTTTCACAAGGCTGATGACCTTGTCCACACAGATGGTTTCCAGGAGCATAGCAAGTTTACAATATAAGAGGAGTCTACAAGGTCTTTTCTTTGTACCATTTCCCACACAATAATCAATTACCAATTTTCTCTTTTAAAATACCTATGTATACACTTGATAGGCTTTGGCATTATGACAATAATCCCAAATAACAATCTTAAAATTTTTATAAGTGATAGCCAAGTAGTTTTAGCTATAATTTCCTCTTAACTATAGGCAAAGCTGGAAATTTCCAGTTTCCTAACTTGCAGTTACAAAATATTACAAAACAGGGTTAGCAAGGCTGATAAAATAACCACTGCTTTCAAACAATTTTTCTACTTTCTTTTAGTTGTTCAGTTCACATTCTAATAACATCTTAGTTATGAAAAAAATTGTTCTTCTAATGACATAACTGATACAACAGGTTACCGATTTCATAATATAAGAACATTTAGAAACATAACAATGCCATAAACTATAATATGTTTGAGACTCAAAACAAACCCATTAACAATCAGGTGACCTCAATTCAGTAGCATGCATTTCCTAACTACCTTACACAGAAAATTATTTTATCACCATTGGCACTATATGCTGATCATATCTAAAACCTGTATAAAGTCATCATGTATGGAGCAATTCCATCTAATTAAAGTAATAATAATAACAGTTAACATTCATATATTGTTTGCCCTATGCCAGGCATTGTGTTAAGTGCTTTACAATCATGTGATCCTCAAAACAATCCTGGGAAGTGGGTGCTGTTATTATCTCCTTACAGATCAGTAAACTGAGGTAAACAGACATGAGATAACTTTAAGGTCACTCAATTAACAAAATCTCAAATCCATGCATTTTCCCCATTTGTCTTCATGTCAAATAGTATAATAAATTCTACTGCATCATAAACATATTAGAAGAGATATGTTTCACTTAAAATAAGACCAGAATAAATTCAATTACACCTGGATCTATTTTCCAAAGGGTAATGAATCTCAATTCATAATTTTAATTATGCATTATTATATTTTATACAAGGGCTAGTTATTCCAGGCATGTCATATTATGAGGTCCACTATTTCTAGCTAATCCACTATTAAAGATTGTAAAAGTGGCAGTGTGGTATTAGGTTTTAATCTACCCCAATTATCACAATTATGAGCACATTTTAAGTTAGTTCAAATCTGGGTTCTACAATCTCAAAAAGGACACACTGCTTATAAATTTACTCCTAGCTCTCTATAACTGTTTCTCTATATACTTCCAAATCAAATAGCTACTGTGTATTAGTATAGTTCCCAATAAGATAAGCATATGAAGTTTCACACAACTTTCCCACTTAAAAGCCAAAACTTTTTCAACCCTTTTCTGTCAACATATTTAGACCTTGTTAACATGCTTAAACCTTCTGAAGCTGGTATAAGGGCACCCAGAGCAACTGTCCAGGGACGGGATTTGTCCCCAAACTTTCTTTTCTACCTTCCATATTTTCCCTCTAGCCTTTATTTCTCTTTCCAAATCTTCCAAAGCAATTACTCAGACTATGCAACTTTCCTTTACTAAAATCCTACATTTCAACCACATTCCAAACTATATTCACTCCACTGAATATTTCTTTCTATAATTTTGGCACATATTGTTGTTAAACAAACTCAATGACCTATTAAAACATTACTTTCCCAGCGTATAGCTGTAGAGGTTGGGGGAAAGAACTTGGCCACATTTCATAAATGTGAAGGAAGAAATAGAATCTTGCTAAAAACCTAGATTAGCTAACATGACCCAGAGAGAGAGCTTTGCCAGCAAAGTTTTTCCTTCTAAGCTCTGTGAACACAATTACAGACTTTGAGAGACACATAAACAGACATAGGAAATACAAACACATAGGTACAAAATGTTACTTCTTGCCAAGTGTCTCCACAGGGGCCATGTTATTTATCACATGCAAATACAAAGTCTTAAGAAATTATTACCTTTTTAAAATTATACCTGTCTTCTTGCATATTCTGACCTGACGCTTCCTTTATCAATCATATCCCAAATACTTTTTGCTTTGCTGAGTTTTTCCTCCTCTGCCTCTCTCTCGTCCCCCTGATGTGTGCAGTCCGAAAGGGAGTGAGGGAGAGAGAAAGAATAACTTTCTCTTTTCTTTATCCTATGCTACAGAGGGCAATTGCCATTCTGAGTTCTCACTCAATAGCACTGAAAGTTCTCATCTTTGCTAGGCTATAAATTTATGAATTAAGTTTAAAATGTGCATTTGTCTAGAATTCTAGATATTTAAACTTTTTGCCAACTATCTGCAGGTTTTCAGGGCCATATAACTGTATCATTTGGCCCATGGCAGTCTCTTTGAGGGAAGGAATAAAGTCATCTTTGGATACTTTATTACTCATGGGGAACAGACACACACAGACAAATACAACAACAACAAAAAGCCAAAAATTTTATATTCTTAATTCATACCCATATATTCTATTTATTATTTTTCAGTCAGTTAATAAAAAAACACCAGGAGCTAGGGCAGCTAGGTAGTGCAGTGGATACAGCACCAGCCCTGAAGTCAGGAGGACCTGAGTTCAAATCCGGCCTTGGACACTTGACACTTACTAGCTGTGTGACCCTGGGCAAGTCACTTAACCCCATTGCCTAGCCAAAAAAAAAAACCAAAATAAAACAAAACAAAAACATAAAACAAAACAAAACAGAAACAAAAAACAAAAAACACCAGGAGCCCTCTTTCACTGTACCTTGGCTGGGCCACCCAGAACTGGTCTCTCCCCGAGTCCTCCTCAGCCACTCCTTAGGCCAGCAATACCTGGAAACAGAGACAGAGCTCTCTTCAGTCAAGTCTTCCAGCTATCAACAACCAAAACCTAGAGTGCAGTAGCTCACTCCTGTCCTAGCTAAAATTACCATTACCATCAGCCAGCCAAATTATCAAGATTTGACTTTCAAATCTGCTTCAGTCAGAATACCTTTCAAAAAACAAAAGACCTTACCTTTCACCCCTTGATCACGGACAGCCTGATTTCTCTTGTCACAGGAATTCAACTGAAAGAGACAGGAGTTTAAGATATGAGTGGAGAAGTAAAACTCCCCAAACCAGAGATCTGATACAAGTAGGGCACAAAAGGGCCCAATATTGGGACCTAGCCCTGCATCTGAAGCCTCTGGTCAGTCTGAGTCGCTTTCTCTCATCATATCCCATCACTGTACCATTTACTGTTAACCAAAAACAATATCACAAGTCCATGAAACATACATTGCAACTGGATTTATTACAATAGAAAAGGCACATGAACGTGGAGTCTAAGACAATTCTGAAGAACCTATGATGAAAATGCTATCTATCTCCAGAGAAAGAACTGATGGAATCTGAATGCAAATTGAAGCATATTTTTTTTACTATCTTTATTTTTTGTGGGTTTTTCTTTTCGGTTTGTGTTTTCCTTCATAACATGACTAATATGGAAATATGTTTTACATGACTGCATATGTATAACCATTATCAAATTACTTGCCTACTCAATGATGTGGCAGGTGAAAGAAGGTAGGAGAAAATTTGGAACTCAAAATTGTAAAAATATAAATGTTAAAATTGTTTTTACATGTAATTGAGAAAAAATAAAATATTAAAATTTTGAAAAAAAACTACATTGCTCCTTAAATTATAACTAACAGGTTCTTAAAGGGGAAAAATGCCATGAGATAATTTAAATTAATTTAAAGGATCAGTCAATTCATTCCATAAATACCAATAGTCTATTTTGGTTTTTATCTGCTAAGGCTATTTTTAAATCTTTCAGCTTATGATAATTCAATTCACCAGCTAATTTTTTTTTCTGTTTTAAACCAGATATTACAAAACCTAATTTTTTTGTGTATGTGTGTATCATTCTTGCCTCAGTTGGGAATTCTCCCTTATCCCATGCTTCAAGGTGCTTCTACCGAAAGGAGTTTCCTTTGGCATATTATTTTCTCTCTCTCTCTCTCTCTTTCCCTCTGTGTGTCTCTCTCTCTCTTTCTCTCTCTCTCTCTCTTTCCCTCTGTGTGTCTCCCTCTCCCTCCTTCCCTCTCTCTCTCTCTCTCTCTTTCTCTCTCTCTCTCTCTCTCTTTCTCTCTATTCATATATATATATATATATATATATATATATATATATCCTTATTGAGTAAAGTACTTCTTCTGGTTGGAGAAGTTAAAAAAGATTTTTTTACTAGCCCAATTTGAAATCTAGGGGGGATATTTGTAGAGATGCTCTTCAAAAATGCCCTGGCTAAGGTTTTAAATATTTCAAGAAACCCTCCTGATGGACTGCACAGCTTTGCCGAACAGCCTTGCCACAGGTCTGGTTCTCAGTTTATGAATCTAATGAGGGTTCAGGAGTCTCTAGTAGGAATATAAATTATTCTCAAGCCCAAAAAGCCTTCTTGGAGGAGCTCAAAGAGGATTTTAAAAATCAAATATGAGAGGTAGAAGAAAAATTGAAAAAAAAAGAAATGAGAGAAATGCAAGAAAGAGTGAGTCAACAAGTAGAAAAGGAAGGACAAAAATTCACTAAAGAAAACAATTCTTTAAAATATACAATTGGCCAAATGGAAAAAAAGATTCACTGAGGAAAACAACTCCTTTAAAAGTAAAATTGACCAAATGGAAAAGGATGTACAAAAGCTAATTGAAGAAAAAATTCCTTAACAATTAGAATTGGTTAAGTGGAAGCTAATGACTCTATGAGACATCAAGAATCAGTCAAACAAAATAAACACAAACACAGTAACAACAGCATTGTGCGATGATCTACTATGACAGACTTAGCTCTCCTCAGCTATACAATGATCCAAGACAGTTCCAAAAGACTCATGATGGAAAATGCTATCCACATCCAGAGAAAGAAATATGGATTCTGAATGCAGACTGCACCATACCATTTTTTGCCTTTTTGTTATTTTGGTTTTTTTTCTTTCTAGTGGTTTTTCCTTTTGTTCTGATTCTTCTTTCACAACATGACTAATATGTAATTATGTTTAATATGATTGTACATGTATAGCCTATATCAGATTGCTTGCTGTCTTAGAAAGAGGGAAGGGGAGACAGATTTATAACTCAAAATCTTATAAAAGTGAATGTTAAAAATTATCTTTACATGTAATTGGAAAAAAATAAAATACTATTAAGTGGGGAGAAAAAGAGAATCCAAAACAACAATAACAAAAAAATACAGCATTAATTCCAACAGAGTTCTTACCTCCTTACCTGGAAAAGATCTCAGGTTTTTAGGGGAAGAGTCAGTTCAGAGACACAAATCCTTAGCAGAAAACTCTCCCTTTGTGGAAAATTCCACAAAGGCCCAAAGAAGGGAGGAGTTCTGCTAAGGATCCTGGGAGACTTGGCCTTCACACTCAAACCCTAGATGAGCCCCTACAACCACGGTAAGTCAAATTACAACAAGGGCCTGCTGAGACATAGTTTTCTCCAGAGCAAGATAACATTTTATTAACAGTAACACATAAACTGTTACTTACACCGGCCATCTCAGCCAAAAAGCAGGGACTAGATATGGACGTTTCCAAACTTACTTGGCCTACTGGCCCCTTTAAAAAAAAAAATTACTTAGCACTGGCCTAGAAACCTACTTTCTGCTCCCTTATTCAATGTCCTCCAATTAGCCCCGAGGCTACTACTGCCCCCCCCCCCCGGGTCATTCCAGCACCCTCAAGGAGTGGTTTTGCCCACTCTGGGAGCCTCTGGACTAGAGTATGATTAATTCACTAGTTTGGCTAGCAACAACCAATAATTTGGATCAATGGCTGCTCTCAGTGACCAAAGACTCCAAGTGAGGGCCCACAGGACCTTTTAAACCTAGGTGTGTTTCCCTTCTGATTGGCCTGACAATGCATCATTTGGACCTCCCCTGGCAAAGGTAAAACAATCCAGACTGGTAAATACTTTAATAAGAAGTGGGTTAAGAGTTACTTCAGCTCCTGCCTATTACTTCACCATTGGGAGACTGGAGTAAATCTGAGCTGATAGGATTAGTCTACAGTTGGGGGCGGTTAGCCATCATGCCCCTCTCTAGCAATTAAAAGATGGGCATCAGTTTGCCTACAATAATCTTGGCTAGAAAATCATAACCATCCAAATCATCGTCCACCATCCCCAGATTACTCTCCCACCACCATCACCACCAAGGAGGGGCCTAGCCCAAGCTGGTTCTTGTTTATCTATGAATAAAAGCAAGGATCCCAGGTTAGCAAAGAAGAGCCCCTAGGGGCTAGGAGTTATTATTCAACCACACCTTAAGTTCAGAATGGGAAAGAATGTCGTTTGAGCTAGAAGGTTTAACAAAATGAGGATTAGGATGGATTACATAGTAATACTGGGTTGTTTTTTTTTTTTTTTTGAGTGTGAACCAGTGAGAGTCACACTACTCTCATAGTAACCTAGTCTTTATTTGTTTCAATTTCATTCTTTTCCTCTCTTTGTGCAGAACAGTATTTCCCAAACTTCCATTTACCAGGCTATAGGAATAGGCCTTCCATGAAAAATGGTTGATGACGGCCATGTTTTCCCTTCCATCTTATAAAATATTAAAGATGAAATTATATATGAACCATAAATGTTTATTTTCTGTAGCTGTCTTTTCTTTTTTACCTCTTTTTATTTTTAAAACATTTTAAAAGTTTTAAGTTCCAAATTCTATCACTCCCTCCCCTCCTTCCTTAGATGGTAAGCAATCAGATATTGGTTATACATGTGCAATTATGTAAAACATTTCCATATTAGTTGTTTTGTACAAGAAGACTTGAATAAAAGAAAAAAATGAAAGACAGAAAGTGGAAAAAACATACTTCAGTCTGTATTCAGTTAATATCACTTCTTTCTCTGGAGGCAAATAGTATGCTTCATCATTAGTCCTTTGGAGTCGTCTTGGATCATTGTATTGCTGAGAATAGTCAAGTCATTCACAGTTCTTCATCAAACAATATTGCTGTTACTGTGTACAACATTCTCCTGGCTCTGTTCATTTCACTATGTATCAGTGCATGTCAGTCTTTTCAGATTTTTCTGAAATCATCCTGCTTGCAAAATAATATTCAGTTACAATCATATACTACAGTTTTTTTGAGCAATTCCCCAATTGATGGGCATCCCTTTGATTTCCAGTTCTTAGCCACCACAAAAAGAGCTGCTATAAATATTTTTGTATAAATAAGTCCTTTTCTCTTTTTTGGATGTCTTTGAGATATAGATCTAGCAGTGGTATTGCTGGATCAAGGGTATGCAGTTTTATAGCCTTTTGGGCATAGTTCCAAATTGTTCTCCAGAATGATGGGACCAGTTCACAACTCCACCAACAGTGCATTAGTGTCCCAGTTTTCCCACATCCCCTCCAACATCTAACATTTTCCTTTTCTGTCATATTAGCTACCCTAATATGTGTGAGGTGATACTTCAGAGTTGTTTTAATTTGCATTTCCATGCTCTCTTAATTTACTTATGGTATCACCTTTATGGTAATATTAGATATTAAATAATATAGCACAATATTAATATAATTTTCCTCATCCTGGAGGAAGCAGAATCATCCTTGAGTCTAAACCAAGCAGAGCAAATACTACAAAATGGAGAGCTGGAAATTGAGCCCTCTAAGAATGAAGACTTTAAAGGAAGTTTTGTTTTTGTTTCTTTGTTTTGCTCCAATTCTGATTAACAACTGAGAAAGAAAGAGGCAACTTTGGGCACTTAAAATTTGTTGAGTAGCTAAGCTGATGAAATCTCTGGGGGTCTGAGATTTCTGATCCTTATTTTTTCCTGGAAGAAGTATGATATGACTGAAGTGAAAACTAATTGCTAATTTGATAACCTAAGCCCCCACCCCCTTTTTGTATGTTTAATAATATTTTATTCCTCCCCCCATTACATGTAAAAACAATTTTTTACATTTTTTTAAAACTGAGTTTCAAATTCTCTCCCTTTCTCTCTCATGAGTTGATCCTGGGGGCAGCAGGGATGATTTTAGAGTCCAAACAAAACAACAACTGGTTGGAAAG